TAATAGTATATCCTTAGGGAGTTAACCTGAGCCTAAGATTTTTCCTCTGTAAAACAGTGATAATATTCATACAGTTGGTATAAGACTTTATTTTTTTATTTATTTATTTTTTTTGAAAGCAAGATTTATTGAGAGGATGGATAAGTTCCCACAGTGGGAGGGGACCTGAAGGGGTTGCCCAGTATAAGACTTTATACCGTTAGTGTATGTCTAAAGAATGTAAAAGGCTTATTGAAATATTCCATTTGCTTTGGGAAATCAGGAAATGGGAGCTATTTTAATCTCATTTCCTAATTATTTATTGAGATTTTATTATGATTATGTTTCATGCCTTATGTTAGGCACAGTGTATACAATGGCAAAAGTAAACAAATAAGTAAATAAATAAATAAAACGGATCCATTCTCAAGGAGTTTAGAGATTATCAGATTTTAAACCCATCAAGACATCATTAACTAATCTGAGGAAAATTTCCATTGCTTTTACTTTTTTCAAAGGAGTCAAAACAATGATTTGATCTAAATCTGTATAATTAATTGGTGATAAAGATGGGTACTACCTTTTTAAAAAAAAAATAAAATTCATTTTAAATGGATACAATTTTCTTGGGTAGATTACTTGAATTTTTAAAAATATGTTTTCAGCAACCCCAGCATCATTAGAATAAATATATATCTCCAAGGTGACTACTTTGAAAACAGTCACTAAAATATATAAGCTCCTATATGTTTAATTAAAAAAGACCTCCCTAATCATTAATAACTATTTGATGGGTAGCTTGAGTAGAAAATACAGCAATGAAAGTTGTCAGTAATGCTCACAGAATGCTTTATACATGCATATACTCTTCTACCTTTGTCTATACCATTGGTATACATCCCCAATCACAAATAATAAGGGGCCTAAAGGTGTTCATTACTCCATGAAATGTCTCAATTCATCGATCATCCTGTTTAAGTAATCAGATTCTATCAAAAATTGGCTTGGAGATGCTTCTATTGGCAAAATCAGGGACTATTTGAGAACCAAATCATTTAGATTTAGTAATTGACTATAACCCATGAAATAAAACAGAAATCTAAGAGTTTATATTGATTTGGAGTACCATGCAGCCATGAAGAAGGACAGACTTATGAACTTTGCAGCAACCTGGAAGGATTTAGAGTCTATCATACTCAGTGACCTGTCACAGAAACAAAGAACAGAGTACCATATGTTCTCACTCATAAGTGGACCTTGAACAATTATCGTAATACTATAAGAAAAGGACTGGCAGTAGTGGGAAACAGCCAGGGGATGGGCAAGCAGCGGGGGGTGGGATTGGCAGTTGAGGGAAATTGCCAGGGGAGGGGAAGGCACACTTCATCAACAAGGGCACCTGCATAATGAACATTTATATACCTAACACCGAATTGTACCCCACATCTTAAAAATAAACAAATATTAAAAATTAAATAAATAAATAGGAGAGAATTAAAAGCTCTTATAATGCTAGAAAGTAAATGCAGAAAAAAATACCTGAATTCAAAAATGACTATTTGACAAAGATAGTAATAACTGATTCTGTCAAGAATTATCACTAGATGCTAAACCTAGCATACAAAAGTTTGATGAGAAAGACGATATATATAACAGGCTTTAAATATCTCCTCATAAGAAAAAAATGTAAAAACCAAACTTACTGTGTAGAAAACTGAAACACCACTTTAAATGGTCAAAGTTAACATCAACAATTATTGCACATGCTGGCATCAGGTGCCTAGTAATATGATGTATTGAGATGCATTTCTGCTAAAAACTCATAACCTCAATCTAACAGTGAAGAAACATCAGCAAACCAAAACTGATGAATAACTGACAAGTATGTAGTCTCTACTCTTCAAAAATATTAGGAACATAAAAGGCAAAGGCAGACTAAAAAATTAACTGTTCTAGATTAAAAGTGATTAAAGAGACATGACAAATAAGTGCAATGTGAACTCCTAGTTTGACCCTGGAAAAGAAGTTATTGCTATAAATGACATTACTGGGACAGTCGGTGAAACATGAATAGATTTTCTAGATTAGATAATGGTTTTCTACAGATGTCATTTTCTTATTTTGATATTGTAATATGATTATGAGGAAAATAGGTATGGATATATTTCTAGAAAAGAGAAGATAATTTCAACTTTGTCTTAAATGACTAAAATAATATGAATATAGAGGAAAAAATACATATAGAGAAAAGAGGAAATAATAATACAAATTCCTTCATAAATTTCTACTTCACTGTTTATGAATATGACCTCATGCCCAGGAAACATCTATAAATTTTCCTTCAGTCTGACTTTATCTACTTTTATTGGCTCTCAGTCCAATGCCAGCAGTTAGCAAAAATACTTAAAACTATTGTTTCTTCAACCAGACTCATTCTCTTTAGATTATCTTGTTAATATTATGCAGATTTAACTTTGCAACAAGATATAAGAGCATATTTTTCATTACATCAATTTTAGTATATAAGCACAGGAATATAGCCAATGATAAGTACATACAAATTATCCCAATGATTGCCTTTAATATTCCAAAATTTTAAGCTGCTAGGGGTATGAATTGAATAGTAGTTTAGATGAATTAAGTTCTGAAAGTCTCTTCTCTCTTCAGTTTTCTTTCTTATTTTAAAAACATCTATCTTTATATTTCCTTGCTTTCCTACTAATTTCTACAGTTACTAATTCTTTAAAAAAAAAAAGGAAAGCTTCAAAATTGATGAAGTTTCCTAAATCATTCTATAAAAAATTTACACAGCCTGTCGCGGTGGCTCAAGCCTGTAATCCCAGTACTTTGGGAGGCCGAGGTGAGGAAATTACCTGAGCCCACAGTTTTAAAACAGCCTGGGCAACTTGACGAGACCTCATCTCTACAATTAATCAAAAAATAAGCTGGGCATGTAGCATGTGCCGGTAGTTTGGGCTACTTGGAAGGCTGAAGCGGAAGGATCTCCTGAGCCCAGTGGGTGACGCTGGTATGGCAGTGTGTGCTACTGCAGCTACTGCACTCCAGCCTGGGCGACACAGTGAGACTCCAACTCAAAAAAAAAAATTTATACATATCTCTTTTTACACATATATATATATATATACACACACACACACACACACACACACACATATATACACCTACACACACTCACACACATATATACACATTCACATATAATGAAACCATCATGTGACTATGCATCAGTGAGGAAAAATGAAATGGAGTAGATTTGATTTGAAAATTTCTCAGGCATATTACTCCAAGAAAATTGCTTCGATGGTTTTTGAATAATAACAGCATCATAACAAATGAAAAGTTGCCATTTTTGAGCATTGACTATGTGCCAATCACAGTTCTGGGTATTTTACAAACAATATTTCACTTACTTTTCACAAAACCTGCAAAACACTCTTATTCCCATTTTGAAAACAAGGGACATAAGCAAGGTTCACACACATTAAATAACTTGCCCACAATCACCAAACCTCTATCATCAGTTCTAAAATCTATGCTCTTTCTACTGTTCAGCAAGTGTCAACAGATTGGTACAAGACACAGAGATAAATTATAGTAAACGCTATAGTAAACCTGGCAGATATTCTATAACTATTAGTTACCTTTCTTCCCAATTTTTCCTTTTCAAAATGGTAAGCAGAAACAGAAATAGAGGCATTTGATTTCAGAGTAGTTCAGAGTTACTTTTTAAAACGATACTTTTAACCAAAATTATGTCAGGAAAGGGAAAAAAAGTAAGACATACAATAGTCAGACTAATGACTATCAGATCCAATGTCTGGCTTCCATCTGATAAAAGAAGTAACACAATACAGTAGAAATAGCATTGGTGGTTAGGTGTGGTGACTCACACCTATAATCCCTGTACTTTGTGAGGCATAAGTGAGAGGATTGTTTGAGCCCAGGAGTTCAAGACCAGCCTGGGCGACATAGTAAGATCTCATCTCTAAAATAAATAATTAAATAAATAAAAATTATAAAAATAGAAATAACATTGGTGTCCATTATTATGTTCATTTATAGAAGTGCTAATTGAATATCTAATATGTATTAGGCAACAACAACAAGACATACTCTCTGTCCTTATTGAGATTAAACAGAAGATGTTGGTAATTATCAGATAATTGCCATAAAATACAGAAAAATTCTACAACATCTATAAGGCTGCTATGTATACCAAATATATCACTATGTATTTATGAACAAATATATAAGCCTTTTTCTAACCTGCCAAATGAGTATTATAATAGTTCATTCTAATGAGCATCATTATATATCAATTAAATAATCTATGCAAAATACCTGGTGAATATCAGATATTTAACAAATAATAACTAATGTAAATGCACCAAAATCTTTTGTCACTTTCCAGTAATATTAGTTATAAATTAGTGAAATACCTATAAATATGTAACTTTCTACAAAAATCCATTTTGAAACTGTTACTTATTAATTTATTTAAATCTTATTTACATCTGTGAAACAAAATTTAGTAGAAAATCCTGAAGATAATATAAAGGAAGGCTCGTTGTTTGATTCTACCAATGTAGCATAATTATGAGGATGTTTATTGCCTGTGTTATGGGCTAGACATTAGTCTAACATGTCAGTGATCCAAAAGTGAACAAGTTACAGTGCCTATTCACAAAGAGCTCTCCATCTGAAAGTATAATCATCAACAAATAAATATAAACACACACACTGTGAAAGGTACTTTTAATGAAACTAAAATATCTGGTATAGTTTAGATATAAAATATGAGCTAATTCTTCATGGAAAAATCAGGAAATGCATTCAGAAGCAGTCTCATACCAAAAATTAAGCCCGGTTTTATCCTTATATAAATACTTATCATCAGTTACTTCCAAACTATATATAAATACAACAGAAGTATGCTACAGCATGTTGTATAACTCAATATGTAATGATCAAATGCTAACATATGTAAGTTTTATATTTACCTTCACAATTAATTGATAATGTTTTCTGCCTAAGAAACCTCTCCACCATTTTTGAATAATTGTTGCTGTTCTGTTTAAATGTCTAGAATAAAAAAAAATACTTATTAGAATCCTTTCATTAAAACAAGGATGTCTCTTAAATCTTTGATTAGAATATATTCTCATACAGCTCAAGAGTTGAAATTCAAAGCCAAGTTTTGTGTACTTTTAAAGGGAAGAAAGTTATCATTCTGGCATAAAGCTAATCATTCTAGGAGTAGAAAAAGAAAGCATAGATAATTATTCATTATTTCTTTGGGCTTATGATTACACACTATTTGAAGTTCAATTACTTTTCAATACTTACTCTTTAAAATATTTTTTAATATTAAGACTATGAAACAGGTCATAGTGACATGTTGAGAAATAAGCCAGGCACTATATATAAATGCAAATCATTATAAGCACTTAGAAGTTATTCGTGAGATCAAGAAATAGTTCCCTTCTTCATTCTTTTCCTATATTCCTCAATCTATCCAAGCAAACATCACATTATACTGCTGACATAAAAAAATTCTTTCGTTGCTACTGCTATGTTCCTAGTTTTTTATAGTGACCAAAAGAGAAGCCTCATCTTCACATGCTACATTTGCACATCTGGCTCCTACTCAGTAATCTAAGGAAGTAATATATAGTATAATCCCCAGTCTGTTAACTGAGTTGCTATGAACTAGGCATCCAGGAAAATATTTTTTTCAGAATTGATGGGAGACTAAGGAAATGTTTGGGCACTAAAGAAAAAGTGAGAATGGTTAAGATAGGGATAAATTTCAGTATCTTTATATTGTCAGAATTACATCATTTAGGCATCATTTGCTTTTATCTACCAATGAAGGGTTGAAATCATTTTCTTCCAGCCCATTCTTAACAGTCAATGAATTTATTGCTATAAATATGAGCCCAATCATTTGTCACATCCTATGGAATTTAGGAAAAATAATCTATCTGATTAAGTGTACTTATAATATTGAGAATTTTTAAAATGTAGAGATTCAGTCAATATAATTTAGTGTTGGTAAGAAAAGATCAAAATACTATGTATTTCTTTTTCAAGAACATCATACAATTTATTAACTTCATTATAAGTAAAATAAAACATTATGTGAGATGAGCACTACATGAATAAATTACATTTTCGAAGAAATATACTTTTATGATATATCTGAGGTTTCCATGACACAATCAATATACCTGATATATGCCCGAACTTGACATCCTCGAAACCAGCTCTGTATTTTAACTGATGCACTATTCTCCTTTTTTCTAAATGAATCCACAATGCTAAAAACAAAAAAGGTTTAAAAATCACTTTATTAGTAACTAATATAATCTTAAACCAAGGCAAACTGTTAAATTAATCTTTAATTTCTTCCAAAATGATAATTATAATTCAAATGTCACTTTAAATAAAATTAAAATGCTAAATAACGCATTTCAAAAATCATGAGCTATGTTTTAAAAATTAACCTTTCTCTGAGAAGTCTTGTGCTTTCAACAGCTTTACTTTTTTAATTTTTACAATCACCAATTTTGTAACTAATTAATTTGTCAGTAATTTTTATTAGGAAATAAAAAAAACAATGTGTTACTTAGTCATTATTTTAAAAACATAATTATTTGAATTTACTGTTTATATGCCACTACACGTTATCACTGAAGACTAAAATACTTGCACATTTCATGTATTCATCAGTTAAATGAGTTGCCTCTAAGTAAAATGAATCCATCACAGAATGCCTATTCTAGCTAGAATTCTCAGAAAGTCTATTTAAGTTAAAGAAGGGAAGGGGCCAGAAATAAAAAATTCAAGTCAATGACCCATATGTGAAATACCTACAAGGATACAGAGAATTCATACAAGTCAGTAAGATTACATTAGGCATAGTTTAAGTTAGAATACATTGTAAAAACCATACTTAGAAATATATTTGGATTCTCTGATAATGAGTGGAAGGCACCATGAAAAGATTACTATCTGATGCAATAGAGTTTGATAGAAATAATCTAGAGTCTAAGACCACTCTAGACAATCAGAGTGGAAGAAAAGAAAGATTCATTATTATTGTACTGCAAGTATCAAATGACAGAAGAGACTTGATGAACTGTATTCTTGGATCATATTATTGTACTCCAGGTGGGAAGGAGGAAGAAAAGCTTAGTCCATTACTCCAGAGTCTTCTCTACTTCCCAGACTACAATTAAGCCTTTCCATTTTAGACTCTCATAGCTACTCATAATATTTAACATAATCATACTTTAAAAGTTATTTAACAGTGGTCTCTTCCACTAAACCTTACAATTCCAAAGGCAGTAATCTTGTCTATTTTGTCCCACACTGTATTCCCAGTGACCTCAGGAGAGATAATTGGTGTTATTACTAAGACTCAAATTTTGTCTTACCAAAGGTACCTCCTTTGGGAAGAAAGTATGCCTAGTGGCATATTTCATCCCAGTGAGAAATGTGATTCTCAGACTTCCCTCACTAGATTTACTCACAATATGAAAATCTCTCCCTACTCTAGGATGACAGAGTTGCTGAAGAGCGAACAAGTGCCACATGCTCTTAGTAACTTAAATCCTGTGGTAATTATGAATAAAAGACAGCAGACAGCAGACATGAAAGGAGCTGTTGAGAGAAATAGAGAAAAAAATACCTATTTACTAATTATTATTTTATGTGTCAGGCACTGTTCCTACCATTTTACACACCAGGGAATTAACTCATATATAATCCTTTCAATACCTATATGAAGTAGAAAATTATCATCCCCATTTGACAAAGGAATACACCACTGCATAGAGAGTATATAATGGGCCCAAGGTCATATCTTCATTAAATGTCAAAGCTAAGATTTGATCTTAGAGGTTTGAACTCCAGAGACTGGGTTCTTAACCATCACTGTTTCTAAAAGAGAAGAGAAAGAAAAGATGAAAATAGGAAAAGAAAGGGAAAGTAAAATGGAAGAAAAATAAAAAGGCAAAAGGAAGAATGCATATAATTCATTTCCAAATAAAATACCGAAACTTTCTGGCATAAAGTATCACCAATCTCACTAAAACAATGAACTGAGAGATTAAGAATATGAAATGACACCAACATCTATACCAAAAACCCCAAATTTCTGACTATACCAAAAGTTGGTGACAATAAGAACTCATATATATTGCTGGTAGGAAACTATTTGGCCTTCAAACACATACAGAATACTTTCATTTACATAAATGAAAAAAACTTGCAGAACTTTGGGGTGATCATTAGGGATGCATACATACATAGTAAAATGATAATGGGAATAACAAGACACAAATTTTAGAACAGAGATGAAAGATGGAGAAGAGAAAAGATGGGATATGATCAGGGCACACAAAAAGCCTAAAAGGTTTTGAAAGAATCAGGTTAATTAAACTGAATGAGGATTCAGGATTGACTTTTAAAAACCATTCTTTATAATATCTGTCTTTATATATGTAAATACTCTTTTGAACATATGTAATATTCTATACACAAGTCCCTCTTTATCCGTGGTTTCTCTTTCTTCATTTCAGTTACCTGCAGTCAACCATAGTCCAAAAATATTGAGATATTTTGAGAGGAAAGACCACACTCAACTTTTATTACAATGTATTATTATAGTTGCTCTATTTTATTATTAATATTGTTAACCTCTTACTGTGCCTAATTTATAAATTAAACTTTATCATAGGTACTTATATATAGAAAAATCATAATATAGAGGGTTTTATGCTATCATTACTTTCAGTCATCTACTGGGGGTCTTGGGACATAACCCCTGTGGATAAGAGGGGACTAATGTAATGCCTTTTTTAAAAGACTGTAAGAATTAGATTTCAAAGTTCTAGTATACTGACAATTAATCTTATAAAGTAAATTTCTAAAACCTGTCATGTCTTTGTTTGCTAGAAATTCCATAAAGAGGAAAGCAAAAGACTTTCTTGTAGCATTTTTCACTCACTGTAGTGGGAGGTGGGGTGGGAGAGAAAATTTTTAAAAATTAAGCAATCTGATTGAAAAGCAGCAAAAGACCTGCAATTTACAAAAATAAAATATGAACAACTTATAATTATAGTAATTGCATAAAAAAATACTAAACACTCTAAGGATAACTCAGCAATTCTCTTCCTGGAATTTATATCTTTTTTGTACTATTAAAATAATAGGAACAACCTAAAGAATAATAGAAACATAATATGGGATACTATTTCGTCCTTACATAAATTTAAGATCAATATGTCTAGAAATGGAAAGTTAATAAACTAATACAATTTTTTAGAAAACTATTTTAAAAATTTTCAAGTTTAATGGAAGCATTAGACTAGGCATTAAACCCTAAAAATTTTGGCCATTTAATATAATATGAACCATTGCCTAGCCTAGCCAAAATGCTAAGGTAGCAGAAAGCACATTAGCTTTGCAGAGAGAATTTGCTTCAAATCCTAACTGTGTCACTTAATAGCTGAACAATCTTGAGCAATATTTTAAATCTGAAATTCAAATTTTTCCATAAAATTCAAATAATAATACATCATAGATATGTTTGTTGGTATATACAAAGAACCTAACAGAAAAACCAGTAAATAATAGGTACTTAATAAAAGATAACTATTATTGTTATTACATAATGATGGACAGTTTATGGATTATAGAAAAAAAGAAATGCTAGTTTGTCAATGTCGTATTCATTAATTTGAAAAGTTATATATAAACTGTGTATAGGTAGAACGCTATTTAAACTAAATATAAATAAATGTGTGTGTGTCTGTATGTGTGTGCGTATGTATATGTATATATATATGACATATACTATGCTCTCAAACATAAGCTTACCTACCAACTAATGGAACTGAAAAATAAAAGCAACAGTAAAAATATATGAATAGGGAAATACTATATGAGAAGTCAATATCTAGAGAATTCAGAAGTAGAAGAGATCATTTTTAGTAAAGAGCAAGGAGTCAAAGAAAGCATTTGCATAGGTTCTCAAAGAATGGGCAGCCAGAATGGGCAGCTCTTCTGTTCTGTACTCTAAAATATACTTAACATTTGTGTGTTGGGGTATTCCTCAGGTACCTCAAATTCAACATGTCTATTCAAAATAACTCATCTCACCCTTCTTTCCACATATTCATCCTCTATTGCTGGAATAGCTCTTTTTTTCTTACTTCCCTTTTTCATGAATGGCAACAATATCCACCCAACAGCTCACATCAGAAACTGTGAACCAATTAGTTCTCTATATTAGTCCTCTCTTCATCTCTGTAAAACTAGTTGCTTGAAAGTCTTGTTTCCTAGGCAAGTGGTCTTTTCCCACTCTACTCCATCCTCCAATCTATTGCTTGAATGATCTTTTGAAAACATAAATCTGAACATGCCATTTAAAAAATATCCTTTAATGCCAACTCCCACAAAACATCCCAACCTTTCCAAATGAAGCCTAAAAATGGCAAACAGTCCTTCCAGATCTGGCCCAGACTTAATTGCCCATGTCCTTTATCACTTCCATCCTATGATACAGTCATCCTACTATAGTTCTGTTAATACGCTATGTTCTCTCTTGCCTTTAGAGCAACATAAAGTTACTCCGTCTTCTTGAATGGTTTTTTTTAAACTACAACTTCCAGAAATATTTACCTTCATAACACCATGAAATTTCTCCTACATACTAATTATATGATTTGTCTTCTTGAGGGCTGGATCACATATATATATATCCCAGCACATGTAAAGTAACTGGTACACTGGAGGAGCTGAACAAATGCTTACAAAAGGAAAGAAGGAAGAAAAGAAAAAAGGAGGGAGGGAAGGAAAGAAGGAAGGAAGGAAGGAAGGAAGGAAAGAGGGAAGGAAGAAAGGAAAGATAAGCACTGATTGAAGTCAGGACAAAAAGCCTTGGTTCTCAAGAGTTTTGTGCATAATATTGGGAGATGCTAGACTTCTTGAATACTATAATTATGACTGTGAAGCCACATGTCCCCTAAGTTTAACAAACTCTGGTTCAAAAATATTTATACTGAAGGATGTTAAATAAGAAAAACAAACAAAAACACCGTTCAATAATAAGACATATAGTGTAATGTCACAGAAATTAATGGAACGGCATAAAGAGGAGAGATCATGACGAAACAATGTCAAATGCTGTGGAGGTCATATAAAACAAGGTCACTGTCCAAGGGGTCACAGTTAGAGGGAATCTTTCATTTTTGTATTTAACATCTTATCCTTGTCAATAGCAAGATGTAATAGTGAAACATATAAAATATCA